GTGTTGTTGAACACTGAACTTCCTGCCAACCAAGAGATGTGTAACACACAGGTGGATCTATAATGTGCACATCCTCAGACAGCAGCACCCCGTGTGATTCACTGCCTTAAGGAATCGCTCTCTCCATGCAAACTTCACAGGAGAAAACCTGTTTTGTCTTGTCTGTGAGTTGGGGAGTAGGTCTCTCAGCCCAGGGCAACAAATTAAAAAGATTGTTTATGCTATCCAACTTGTCAGTGTTTGTTACTAGGCATTTCTCCTTCTCACCTTTCAACAATGGGGACAGGAATTTTGTTACTTTAAACAATAACTCATTTGTTCCCATGGGGGCAAAAAACACTCAGGTGACAACGAAACAAAAAGGCATTCTAGAAAACAAATGCTACACCATATTCATGGAAATATCCATATCACATGAGAGAATATCAAAGACTACTTTTTCAGTTGCAGAACTCAGCAGCTGCTCGTTTATTTTAACAGACTCGGCTGGTAAACATCAGCTAAGGATTTAGCCCTAGAATTAGTACTTTAATAAGGTACATTTGCAACCACATTGGAGTTTTACTTATTTTCTGTCCATTCTGGATCATTGTTATGCAGGATAGAGCACCGTAAATCACTTAAAAATCAGTTTGTGGTTCATGTACTCTTTGGACATGCTCTCTAGGTACCTTTGATACCAAGACTGTCTTGATGTAAAGTTGGAACAATATAGAGCTGAATTAAATCCACTTTTTATCAGTTTGACTTTAAATTTGTCCATGGATCGTGTCCACACTAGACTCAGAAGAAGCCTCTTGGCAATTCTGAATTATCATACCAAATTGCTTCCATCAATTTGCTGGGGCTGCCAGGTTGAAATGATGCATGTCAAGGCAACCCTACACTGAAAAGCAAAAGATAGCCTCTTAAATGTTCCATTTATACAGCTTTTTATTCACAGTCAAATTTAGTATCCCTTCTGAAATATATCACTTTACAAATTGATACCATGCCATTACAAGATTTCCATGCCATATTCACTCAGCTTAGTAGTAAAAACAAGCTTTTGCTCTTTACCCTTTGGTACAGCTGATGAAAACGGTGCAGTTCAAGGTCTGCTTCTTAGATCACCAGCATTAAATATTCCATAGATCTCTAATCTTCTGCTACAGGAAAGGTTAAAAGTCAGCAAAAAGATACACTGTTGGTCTTATCAATAAAATATCACAAGTGTATCCCATTGGAAAGCAGAAATTAAAGAAAAAAACACCCAAACAACCACTTACATTAAGATGCTAAGAGTGCTCTGCAAAACAAAAACATTCATGTGGACTTTCTGAAACTTTGAGTACGAAATATTACTCAAAGCAGGTTAGGAGAAAGAAAATTACACTGTTCCACTGCAGAACACAAATGCATTTTTTAACAAATATGTATCATGTGATTCTAAAATGACAAATTGTATTTATTTTCTCTAAATGATGCAGCTTAACACCTTTTTTTTTTTTTAGTCATTAGCAAGTGAATGTCTAAGAAACATAAACAATAATGCTCTGTTTTGACATCTTTACATCTCAGTTTATGAGAAACTAATTACATGTACACATTTGGGGTGCAACCACTTTCAATTATGTTGGCACACCTCAGTTGGAAACCCTGTGCCACAGGAGCCACTTCCACCAATGTCATTCCACCCACGTTTCCAGTTACAGACTGGAGTTTGCTGCTGATGGCTCCCAAAAGCTGATACAAGTCTTGATTTAGGTCACCAAAGTCTCTCCTTCTAGAACAGCAGAAACAGGTCACCATCACTTCCTGGGTGATGTATGTCATTTACTATGAAAACTAAAATTTCCCTCTATATTTGTCATACTCCCAGCCCTGCAGATAAAAAATAAAAACTGAGTACCAGTCTACCCTCTTAAACCCAAGAAAGCTCCTAATCCTGAGATAATTTTGTTTGTTTAGCTTTTATTAATCCAGATAAATATGTCTGAGGAGATTTTCAATATAACAACAACACTGACAGTTTTTGACAAAGCTCTATGCTAGCACAGATTTTCAAGGCCAGGAAAAATAAGATGACTTAATAAAAAACAAACTCTAAGGAATGCAGTTCTCCAGTAATAAAAATACTGAAGGAATAGAAATGAGCCTTATTGATATGTTGACTTCCCAAGTCATATGGCAAGCACTTTTAAGGCTGGAAATTTAAGCCACAGTAAACTCTCTGTCAGAGAAATGTTTTCTAGGAGTAGATCTGTGGAAACTTCACACAGCTCAGAGAATACCTTGTTTCTCATGTCAGATAGTCATTTTGTTACAGTAAAAATCTCCTTAATGCCTAGGATAGTTAATGCCAAATTGCTATTTTTATGCAGTTATTTGCCACTAACACAAGTGGGATTTAACATCCTGAGCTGCATTTTCATTTCTCTTCTGAAACATATTTTTGTGAACTTGGAAAATTCCTCGTGCAACCTCATACCAAATTCAAGTCCCAGCTGCTAACTTCACGTGCTCTCACCAACCTCACCACTTCCTTGGTGCAAAGCGTGGAAAGCAAGAAAAGTTCCAAGAACTCATTAAATGTCTGAATCAAAACAAAATCTTTAACAAAGTAATCACTTCAAGGATATAAAAACCACTTAGCATTCATAATCATGATTTCAAGCTTCTTTCAAATAGTGCTGATAAGTGAATAATAAGCACAGGGTGAGGATTCTTAGTTTGTGAGGTATTTGTCTGGGTTGGGTTGTGTCAGAAAACCAAAGCTGCAATCCACACCATTAACATGATGCAAGGCTTTAAAAAATTCACAAAATTGCACATGCTATATCTATTTAAACTGCCCTACTACAAATGTCAAATACCTGCATATAATTAATTATGCCAGATGGACTTCTACCTCAGTAAGTCTCAGCTAATAGCCTTGCATTACTCTTGTTTAAACATTTACCAATGAAACCTGTGTACTTTACTGGACAATGAATTACGATCCTTTCCAGAAATTATCCTTTTAAAACAAAACCTGTAATTGAAGCTTAAGAGGAAAATCTCGTAATGGAAATGTCCTCCAATCCCCATTTAATTAACAGCACTGCACATAAGTACAAGCTGAGCTACTAATTTCCTCAAGACAATGCCTCTCAAAGCAGAAGATGTTATCTCCCAGAAAATTTCTATTTTAAAGTGCTCTGGTTTGTGCTACTTCAAACCACTTCTATCCTCCAAACGTCTTCCCCACTAGTCGAAAGAACACCTGACCTTTTTTTCTTTTTTTTAGATTGGTGGGTTTGAGATTAACATTTTGAACCTCACCAAAACAAAGCAAACAAACAAAACCAAACCAACAAAACACAACTCTCCCAACTCCCCTATTTTTTTTGGACTCCCAGGTCCAACAGCTCCTTCATTTGACACAACCATGACATATCCTGAAGAAATAAAACAGTGTCGTTTATCTTTTTATAGGCCTTTGACATGTATACTCACATAAGCAGTCCTGTGGATTTGAGGCAGCAAGGTTAGGTACCCACATCTAAATTGTTCTCTGGTTCGATGGATTGATGGCATTGCTATTTACCTGAAGAGTTTATTGTAAACAAGAATATGTAAATTCATATCAGTTACTAAAAAAGTTTCTAGACATGTAATAAGTTTAATAAACTTGACAATGCATTGAATTTTTCCTTTAAAATGTGTATTTTTAGGTAATAATTAGGGAAAAACCTTCATTTTAATACCTAATTCAGTTCAGTTCACACTCTGCATTGCCTGCTGCAGCACAATGCCAAGGACAGCAACCATCCACTGAACATCATTCAGCTTGCAATACTAGAGCTTTGTTCTTATCATTTAGTCTTTCACTGGACTGCTACCCATACTGCATTTTTTTTTGAGCCAAATAATCTATTTTTTCCTTCATAATTCTTAATTCCTTGCTAATTGTTCAATAGCTTTTGGGCAGATAATTGAGCTTTGCATTGCAAAATATTGAAACCTAAACCCACCTAACACCCCACCCTTCCTAAATAACTAATCTTCACATTTTGAGGAAAAGTACAGTATTTCTAAGACGAAGCAGCAGTTTTTATTGCACCAGAGGATGCTTTCTCTAATGAAGATTTGAGAAACATCAATAGATGGCCACACTCCTGCCAGTGCAGAGCATCATCACTAAGGGATGAGCACTGCAGCCAAAATTCCATCAAGCTCCTGCATTTGCCGTTTCCTAATAGCCATCCCCAGCCTGCTTTGTTTTTTTGGACCCTACAAACTGCCCTTGGGGGAATATCTAACTTTTCCACTGACTAGACAGAGCAGAATCCAGGGTGTTTGTCTGTGGCCCTTGAAGCCCTGCTTTCTCAGAGGCAAGAAAGGAAAGGAATATTGCACACTTTCAAGCTGAAAAGAGTTTAACACAGTGAATAAACTTTACCAAACTCTACAAATATGTCATTTCACACAATGCTCCTTCATGAACACCACAGACTGGATAGCAGTGTTTGAAACTTTTTAATATTGAGGAGATTGAGGATATATAAAAAAGTACCAATAAATCATTTAAAAAAATTTAATTCATAGGCATTATAAACAAAACATCACTAGTATTTATTACCAACAAGTATATGTCAGGTCGTTATAACTTGAGTAATAAAATGTCCAATGTGCATCAAATGGCACTTTTAGATACACATTAAATGTGATCACCTCAGTAACAAGTGTCTGGACAAAACACAATCCTGTAAAATTTTTAAGTATAAATTAATCTGTTATACAGCACTTCTATGAGATGCATGCAGTATGCAAAACATTTCCAAGTAAGTTCTAGATGTCTGCAATTCTTATGGGGGGAAAAAAGGATTTAGTCCCTCTGTTGCTTTTTTCCTTTAGCAGAAGTTTTGGAAGTATGTTCCTTTTCTGCATTTGGTTCCCAGAGTGCATTTTTTACAAATCTAGAAGCAGCTCCTTTATCGAGTTTGGATGCCTTTTTCTTGTCTGCTATTTCTTTGACCTTGTTCATATATGTTCTTATTCTCTCCTAGGGAGAAAAGAAAAAAGGAAAAGTATTTCAAACCATTCTCCCAAGATTACTGCTAAAATGAATCAATAAGCACAAGTTCTCCACATTGTACACTTCTAGAACTGTAACACCAAGAAGAATAGCATTACTTAAATAAATATACCAGGCTATTTGCAATCTTGAGACTTCCCTTTAGCATATTTTTCCATCACAGGTACCTACCACACCATCTGCATGACACCCACTGTAACAGGAACACAAAGTCCTACAGAGTTGCAGACTCTGCACCTTATTTGCAAAGATATGGGAACTGTTCTTGCAAGCAAAGTTAGAAAATAAAATACTGAACTCAGTTTGGAGTTTGACTTACATAAAGATGCCAAAATAATATTTAGGTATTTGATACATTTATGGATGCATTATACTGCCTGACTACTGTCCACAAAAAAAAAAAAAAAAAAATCAGCAAGTCCAAGCAAAGCTAAAAAGTCATCTTAGACAAAATCAAAGATGGCACAAGCATCACACATGCAACTACCCAGAAATCTTGGGCTTAAGTTCCTGAAATGGTCAAGGGGCCTTATCAAAGAACTTATTTAGGGCAGTCTGATGAATTTCCAGCCATATCAGAAGTTCATTTTATGGCCATAAATAACAACACAGGCCTATTTCCAGGGAAAGGCATGTTTACTTGAGAAATCTTAGCCTACCAGTCATTTGGAGTTTATGTTGGTTTTTTTGGGGTTTTTTTTTTTACCAAATCATGACTTGGACTCGGCCCCACAGAACTATACCCACCCCCAGCTTAACAATCTCATTTATGTGCCTACTTGTCCTCATCTGCTCCTGCAACAAATGAAGAAAAATACTTTTAGAGGGTACTAAGCAGCTTTAAGATAGGAATCTACCTCTGATAAGTGCCTGCTTCTCTTTACTGACGAGGGAATATGCTCACAGTAACTCTGCAAAATATTTAACAATTTGGTTTACAGTTTTCAGGTCTACATATTTAGCCTAATATGGCCTTAACTGTAGGGCCTTTGGGTGTTACTGTCACACAAACAACAGTAATATATATATATACACATATATTTAGTGCCCTGCCTGATACCTGAACTATGAAACGTGGATTAACAGAACACGCGTGGATACTGCTAAAATAAATTTTGATATGTAACCCACACATTTCTCACACAGCCATTGCTACCTCTTTGAATCTGGAACAAAAGTTACAGGACTTACACTACAGAACTGATTTTCAACTCTTCAGTGATCATTATAAGCAACTGTCAAAAACTTGGCCACTCTTTCTGTATCAAAAACACAGCTTTAACAAGGAGGGCTTTACAGGGTCTGAAATCATGATCAGCTGTAATACTTCTTTGGTGACTGAGATGGCTAATGAGAACAGATGGCAAGCCTAATGTATTAACATGGGAAAAAGGAGCTGGAAAATGTCAACTTGACAAAAGAAATGAATTCTGATAGTCTGAGTGTGAGTTTTATTAATACAGTTTGAATACCTGCATGTACACAAGGAGAGCAATCCTACAAACAAAATAATCATGACAGAACAGTCTTTTTTAATTCCCTTTCCACATGAATAAGAACATCACAATGCCTCTGGAAGGAAGAAATGTGCATTCATGTGCAGCCTTGATACTTGCAAAAGGAAAAGAGACCTGAGTAACAATCAGCTATGAAAATATTCACTCTTCAGAGTTAAAACAGCAGTTGTGAAGCAAAATACAACATAAAATATCCACAGCACAAGAGATAAAAGTTCTTAGTATCACTAAATTAACACGATATTCAGATACTATATAATATAGGAGGAACAAAGTAAAACTGACAGAAAGCTCATGAAGTATTAACTGATGCATTTTTTAATATGATACAGTTTAGACTACTGAAAAGCTCACAAAATTAAAAATACAAGTATTCTTGTTATTCAGGCTAGCTTTCTGCATTTTTTAGTCCTCTTCTCATTCCACTGATTATGTAAGGATTACATTTAAGCTTAGTATTTTACAGCTGCTGAGATTAAATATTTTCATTTATTCAGGAATTAAAATGAGTAGTGAGAAATTTTGATTTCGGTTTTTTCTTCAGGCTAAATGATTCGGTTTTTTAAGTCAGCAGAATTTTCAAGGCCTTCTGTACTGTAGTCATGCATCTAAATGGAATATAAAGACAAAACTAAAGATTTATTATAGGTCGTAAATATGTCACTAATGCAGAATTACTGGACAATACACATACAACTGGTGCCAAAAAAGCTTTTAGCTTTGTTGCTGAACTGGATTCTTTACTGCTGAGAAAATGAATTAATGGAGGGCTTGGAAGGGGGAGGGGGCACTTTCCCGTCTTCGCTAGTAAATCAACCACACTGTACTTTTAAAGTCATAGAAAGTAAGAAAAGGCAGCCTCAAAGATTAACATGATTCCAAGTATTTATAAGAAAAAAAAATGCCATACTGGAAGTTATAAATTATTATCAGGCCTGTAACATTTTTCCATTTAACAGATATAAGTGAAAAGCTGCTCTGCACAGAATCCAATTCTCAGCCAAAGGTGGGAAAAAAGAAAAGATTATATCATTCATCATCCCTTTCTAATTTCAGCAGATTCTACAACTTTACTTTAAACAGTACTGTTTAAAAGTAAAAAAAATTACTTTCTTAATTTAGAGGCAGGGCATATAAATAGTTACATAACACCATGTAGCATATGCATGCCATTAGAGCAATGTATCATTTTTAAATGTAGATATAAACATTTTTAAACTTCTGTTTGGTCTAACCATCCTGCACAAGTAGGAGACATCCAGTGTAAGCAACTCACCAGTTCTTGTTTCACTGGATGTTCCTTTGGATTGATTCCTTGGGTAGCCAAGTATACTACAAGAAAAAAACAAGATTGTTTTGAAACTGAAGACTGTCTATGACTGGGGACCCTATCAAACAGTCACATAGGAAAACCAAACCTTCCACACAAAATCATTAATAAGAATTGTTAACTGCGTCATTAAGTATCTGAAAAACTATTATTATTAAATATTGCAGCTAAAATACCCCCAGCAACTAAAATGGTTAAAAGTTAACAACTAAAAATTGTTAAACTTTCAATCCTTTAAAGAACAGAAAAGGTTGCCACAAAGGAACCAGAAACATACTTACAGATGTACAAAATTGGCTTTTCTAAATTTAGATTTTTGATTTGGAATTTAAGCATCATTTACCCTATGGATGATATTAATGTGGGTCCTCAGGGACCCACTAAAAACAAGTTTTTAGTTACTTGGCTATGAGATATGATTATTTATTGGTTTTGGTTGTCTAGGTGTTCGAATGGTAATCACAAATACTACGTTTTCCTTTCTACCACATACTTACCCCAGAACATGGAATTTAATGTGTACACCGAAACCAAATCCAGCTTTGCTTGCTCAAGAGGATCTAACTAGAATGAAAAAAAAAAATCATATTTGAAGATTTTTAAGCAAGATATGCACAGATTCTGGTAATGTGCACATTTTATAATTGCAAATCTATTAATAAAAGAATACACACTGAAGGAGCACGTTTCTGCATCACAAGTTCAGTGAGACTATGTTTATGCCTTATTTCCATGCCATCACAAGACCATTTATTATCTCCTCTCCGAGTGTTCATGTAATTCTCCCAGTCTGAAGTTAAATGCCACAGTCCCATACATACAAAAGCCCAATCCCTTAGCATGTAGCTCTTGGACTACTGCTCCCTTAGTCAGAAATGAAATCCTTGTTTTTCCACAGAAACTTAATTCCAAATAGCTGTTGCTATCAATGGAAGGAAAAGTTTAAAAGTTGCTGAAACACAAACGTCAATATACAATCAATGAATGTTAACACTACACATGGCAGACTGTGTCTTCAATGCATGTCAGAATACTCATGGATATAAAGCAAAAGAAGCATAAAGCTAATGAAAGGGGTTTTGTTTCCCTTGACTGTCAAAGTCAATTTATTATTTTAGTCCTACACGACTTCCAGAAACTCCGATAACATCATTGTGCAGCTCACTAGTTCTAACATGGATACTGTCAAAAGATCTGTGTTGTCAAGACTGTTTTCTTCATAATTTATTTGTGTAAGAAATCCCCACAGGATAAAGAAGTTCCCTCATGTGCTGCCTTTTTCTTGCCCTACAGAAAGAAATTACATGTTAGGCTTTAAATGTTACAAGACAAGAGATGCTTATATGAAATTCTCAGGCACTACCTTCCTCTGATAAAAAGCCACATTTTGCAGACTTATAGCACAGCTAGAGGAGACAGCCCAGGTTCTGCAAGTCCAGACTTCTGGAATCAGATCAATTCTCACTTCTGCCAGTTCACATCTTGCTGGGTACACCAGTTCCATTCAGTTTGTTGTGAAGAAGTCTCAGACAAAAATGTGAGTGACCTCTCCATTATGGACAAGCATGTTAAGGAAGGTCAGGAATAAGCTGTAATGTTCCCTGAGCTAAATGTCTCACTGGTGAAGTTATCACTTACCAGCTTGGAAGAGCATGTGTTGCATTGTTGAGCCTGTAAGACCATCTGGACATCTTAGAAATATAAGAATTTAACAATAGGTGACAAGTGTAGGAGTGTAATTTTTGTTACTTCTCAGTGCAGTGGCTGGCCTAACCGACCCCTTTATTTCAATTCAGGCTCTCAAGTATTTGTGTATTAATAAGAAAAAGAGCTGCAAAAGGAAGGTAACTTACCTTTTGCAAAAGCTCATTCCTAGAAACTGACATCATTGTCTTCAGCATCTCATCTACAGAACCAAGAGATTTTTCAAATGCTGTGAGATAATCATGAATTTCAGTGGGGTATTCTTCCATGTTGTTATCATCTTCTGACATTTCCATCTGGAAAGTGGAAACAAAAATAATAATCCTTTTCATTAAGTACCTACAGACTGTAGGCATTTAAAAGACTGTAATTTACAACACAAAGCATTAGCATTCATTCATTAAATATTAAAAGAAATGCCTACATGTGAAGAGTTCTAGCAGATAATGCCAGCAGCAACACAGTTAAAGGTCCTGCAATTTCAGGGATATCTCCTAATTCCTGTATAAAATGGCAAGAAGGAGCATTACAATTTACATTACTTTAGTACCTATTCTTGCAATAGTCCTAAAACAGTATTTAGCTTTTATGATCTGTAATAGAAAGAAATTATTTGCATGTTTAAAAGAAGTGCTCTATAAATCACAGTATGTAAAGAGCTACACCAAGCAGCAAGCAGGACACCAGGAAAACAAAACCAAAACTAACTAACCAAAAAAAACCCAAACCACAAACCAAACCAATGGGGATACAGCTTCAGTCTGTCTTAGGAAGAGACATTACTTCAGCACCAGTTATGTCATGGTCAGTTCATTTATGTCATGGTTAGTTCACAAAAAATTATTCTTGTGAACCCTGTATCCAGCTTTCTGAGGTCCCTATGGGGTATTATAATCCCCAATATAACTCTACCTGTAACAAAGCTGAGTTGATTTTGGGATTTCAGAAAACTCTTGCAATCCTGTCAACAGATCAGTGCACAGCAATGGGGAAATAAGATGTGCAAACTCCCAAAGCACCCCTTTTTTATTCCCAGAATTCACAGTACCATGGTATGGCCACTGCCAAGCCATCTGACTGCTGGTTTATAATCAGTATCTTTAATTCCTCTCAAGTCATAAATCATGTATTATCTTGGGGAGGTAATGTTACTTACAGATATGTTATTTTCTACAATTTCTACTGAGCAACAACTTTTCGAATGTTCTAAGGAAAGAGGAAAAGAAATATGTAATTTTCCTGCCTATTTGGTGAGCTGCATCAAGAGCAGTGGGAGCACCTGGATCACTGCAGACTTTTCTTCTTAGAATCAGTGTGACAATCCCACTCTCCAGGTGCTGAGCACAGAGGGAGGGAACAGAAACTGGAGAGACTGAACTTTATCTATGACACCAGTCAGTGCAAAGAGCTGTCACATCACTGCAGTTGGTTTTAGATAATGATTTGATCTTTCCCAGGCAAGAGCATGAGATGTGTCAGAAAGGTTTATTTTTATTTATATTGTCTCTTGGGAGTCAAAAAGGAAGACGATTGGGAGAAAAAACAGTGTGGAGCTACTCAAGCTTGTCTGCAACTTCAGTTTTAACCCCACCATGTGATTTCAGAAATATGATCAGGCAGTTAACAAGCCCAGTTTTGCTGCTATTGTTTGCACAGTTAAGAATTATAATCCTACTCAGCTGCGTGACTGCTCATCTTGGTCAGAGCTGGTTCTCACAGTGAGTACAGAATCACAATGCCAACCATGCTAAAGGTCCCCTCCCCACCCTAGCATGTAACCCACACACCACATACATAAGTATTGCTTCTGTAAGCTGTGGCAGACCCAAGGAAGAAAGCTGAGCTGGATCCACAAGATGCTGCCCACAGAAAGGCAAAATACCAATACAATTATTTCTGACATTCACAATAACACTGTTTGTGTTTCGCTCTACCCTCCTGGCCACCTGCTTTATAATCTGCCATGTTAGGTTGATTAAAAGGGTTCAGAAACAATGTTTGCTGTTAACTTTTGTCATATAATACAGCATTAAAAACCCCTCAAAACTACAAAAGAAACTAGATTTTCATGGTCATTAATATAGCCAAGTTTGGTTAGAAGGTGTCTGTCCTACACTTACACAAACAGGGAGAGGTAATCCAATCCAGCAATCACCTACAGATGTCTCCATCACTGCAGTACTTAACTTGCTATGGCCTTGATTTGATAGGCAGTCATGAACATCCTGATAAGCTCCAACATCTCCCTCTCCCTTAATCAGTGTATCCAGCACCAGCAAGAATAAAAAAGAGAAGTAACAAAAACCTGTAGCAAGTGTGTGTTACCAAAATTAATTGCAGATGATTTACAAAAGCAGTGACCACAGACCAGCTGTCCCTCTGTCGAGATTGAGAGAGAACCAGAGCCCAGCCCAGCCAGAATCTCACCGTATCTCTGCCCTTCCCAAAAAAAAAAGCCCCTCAGGTAAGAAAGCAGCCAGCTGCACCCTACCCCCATCTTGGCCATTATTGTCTCTTACAACAAATAGGAACAAAATTCCATGAGAGAAGGATAAAAGAAAGAAAAGGAAAAATCTTAACCTCCAACAATTGAACTTCAAAGGAACAAGGCTGCCCTTTAGCCTGTGTACAGAACCCTTCACTGCTAAGTGTGCTGCTTCTGCCTGGGAGTGGGGAGAAATTATTAAACTTGTGTTTTTTGTTCACTTCAACAGGAATTAGCAAGTTCCTACTCTTGCTGCGTAGGGACCTCTGTCTTTTCATTACACTGTTGTTTCAGCATAACTAATCTCAAAGCAGGATATATGTGCCAACAACGAGGCAAAAGTCAACAGCCTAAAATAATTTTGGTAACCTTAACAAGAGCAAACTACATTAGAAAACATGTACACCAGAAACTCCACAAAGCTGTTTCTGCCAAAATCAACACATGGGTTGTGTACTCACACCTGCACAATGACAGAGCCAAGGATAGCAGGGAACTCCATGACTCTCTAAATATACCCAAAAGCTATACTGCCCTCAGTAGTTATGTTTCAGTTATTAAATAACTAACAAAATGTTCCTCAAAGTTCTTCAAGTGTTTCTTTTTGCAAAAACTTAAGTCAGTCCCAGAAGACAATGTTAGACAGGTTTTCTGATTTGAATTTATTGACTTCCAACCAGCTTTTATTTGGCACTGAGTTCTCACTTTAAAAATTAAGGATAGTAGAAATATTCATGTAAGAGAAGTAATGAAAAATTCTAGCTAGGTAAGTAATGCGAACAATGGGGAATTCTAAAGGAAATAAGACAGAATTTTCATTATCAAGCAGTAAGACCTATGATGCACAACACATAACCTGTGGTTGTGTTACAATAGTAATACTTTAAAAGATATTAAATTTTGAGAATGCAAAGAAAGGTTCATAACCCATAAACATAAAATACAAAATAAATGGACTACTTTGATTAAGGACACCGAGGCAAAAAAACTGTGATGAAAAATGTTGTACAATTTCCTAACACCAACTTACCAGAAACAAACTTCCCTTTTAATAACCCTGAGCTGCCATGTAATTTTTGGGAAAAAAAAAAAAAAAAAAGAATATGTATTTGATTAAGAAAAGGACTTTAGATTGCAAAAGTAAATAATTTTCATAAGAAAATTTATGCATTGCATTTAGGTCTGTTTAAAAAGTGTTTATTAGTGTCCATAGGTGTAAAATTTCTGAATATTCTGAAATTTCTAAAAATTTCTGAATAAAATCTCATTTATTCAGAAAGATGACTGCATTTTCTGCTTAGAACACATGGAACACCTTGTTCTCTTTGCAGTCCACATATCAATATACTATAAACCAAAGTAGGTAATACAAAACTGCAAAAAAGTAGGGAAATATCAGACATTATTAATGAACCACAGAAAAGAGATAAATATGAAAAGGAGAAAGAGAAGAAATGTCATCTTCTGCAGACTCTCTAAAAACAGCTACACAGGTGACAATCAAAAGCAGTTTGCTGCAGTGTTAACATGGCTATTGATCTAAGATACAACCAAGTTAAATGCCATATGAAGGTATTTTAAATAAAAACAGAATACAGATGGTTGTGGACAATACTACTGGCAAAATTAGCTATATTTATCTTCCAGGATAAAGACGAGAAGAACTACAGACCCCTTTTAAGAAAAGCACATCCAGGAAAAAGAAAAACTGCAGTCAACTTTCAGGCGGCTTTTATGAATAATCTTTTAATATATCCAGAGGTGATTTAACACAAGCCTTCAAAAGCAATTGCCAGCTGGCTTAAAAAGCAAAACCAAACTTCCCTTCCTGCTCACACCCTGTTCTTCCCCCAGCAAAGCCCCGTCATACTGAAAGATATAAACTCTAATTAGGCCAGAAGCACCTCCATGAGAGATTTTGCTGAAGATACATTGTGAAATTAGTGGAAGCTACATGCATCTTTCATCATGGCAATAGGAAACTACTTAAGCAGAAATGAAAAATGCTCAGTGTTAGCATCATGCGCGTGGTTTTCAACTGGAATTAAAGCTGCAAGTTCAGGATAAAAATCATGTATTTGAAATATTTTGTAACGTGCAAACAGAAGACAAAAAGTGATTTAGCATTCTGGTAATATTGCAATTCACATAACATGATAATTCTTGCATATTTCTTAAGCATTAAAGGGTCTTTTCTTCATACTTAGCTCAGCTCATACTAAGCTTAGCTCAGCTTTATTTCTTCAGATTTTTCACCTAATAAAAATCAGATTAGGTAATTAGATTATTTCTTCTTTTCATGGATATTTACTGATTGCATAGAGGAAAAAAAATTAGAGAAAACAAAACCAAACCCAAAACCCTTTGGTCAGGACACATAAAACTGCTCTCAAAATCAAAATAAACACATGAACATCATCAATATGACAAACCATCTCTGTCAGCTCCTGAAAACTGGCACTGTCGTACCTCCTGTGAGTCCTGACTCACAGCCTGCAGTGAGTGCAGCTGATGTGCAAGTGCAGCAAAGTGTAACTTCTGCTCTAACACTGCAGGTCACTGCTGTGGCTGTAGGGCAACAGAACAACCAGCATCCGAAATTTAAATTTATGTGCCATAATTTGTACTATGGCTCCAGCCATCAAAAAATCCTGCACAGAGCCATCCTACAAAACAGCTCATACCTATCAATCTCTTGCTGATGCCACTGAGTCACTTCAGCTTCAGAGGATTTGTGAAGTTTATTCTCATCTGTTTTAAAAAGATCTTAAAATTTTAAGGGAGAGAATAGTATTATAGGCCCATTTACAATTCAGCTAATAAAGGCTGAAGGATTTCCCATGGGAAAACAGCTTGGATTAAACATCCCTCATTCACCACAGCCCCATCTACATCCACTGATGTAAACTTTCAACTCCATCTCCATCATAAAACACTTTTACTCTCTGTAATCAACTGTCTCAAATGACACATCTTGGATGACACAGTGGTTTCTTTTTCTGAACAAATCCAATAGAACCTGCCTCTTGTTCAGCTCCAACCCATCAGTACACCCAGCATAAGTACAATAATAAAAACAGCTTTCTTCAGGTATGTGCAGAACACTTCTTCATGAGAGGTTTTCATAAAAGCTCCTGCACTAAGATATGCTGCCACACTTCAAGTTCACTCTGATACTAAATTTGTGCCTCTAAACTGGTCTTTAAAACATATACTTTTCTTGGCACTGAACCTACCAGGAACTTCTTGTGCAGCAAAAGATTGTCTCCTGTGACAAATCAGTTTACACACAGTGGGGACGACAATCAATACTGAATGCTTCTGTCCTACCAAATTTGCAGCTAACGGGAAACGAGCTGCCTGCAGTTTGCACCTCATGTATACTTGTAAACTACAGAGAGTTTGCTACTTCTAAAACCTTCTTCCACACTCCACTGGTATCAGCACCATGAATATGAATATCCAGAATTAAAGCCAAGAGGTTTTTCCAATCCTTTTGAACTGCTGACCTAGTTTCCTTTAGCCACTAGTTCCACAATACATGAAAAAACACTTCCCTTTACTGGAGTGCAATTTTCTCTATTTGCTATTTATGTAGTGCCTCTGTGTACCATTTTGAACATAAATTCAAATGTATTTTTGGCTGGTTTTTATTTGGCTGTGCTATTACTTTTATTTGGCTGCTCACTATTAGAAGCATGTATACCCATATTTGGGTTCAATATATTGCAGTAATTGTGGGATGTTTGTGTTCTTAGCATCAATTTTACAGATGCTGGAGAAAACCATCTACCTAGAGCTAAGGTGGCCAGTCCATTCCAGTGTACTGTTTATTTATTTAGAGGAAAAGCAGACCACAGATGAAAAAACAATGCTAAAAATCTTAAGCCACTTCAAAGAGAAAGGCATTTATCATAAAGGTTTGTGCGACTTGTGCACTGCTTTTCTGACACGAAGCCTGAAAATTCTACCAATTACTTTCAAGTTTCTCACACTCTGGAGAAGAGCCTTGGGTTGAGTGTTTTCTCATTTCTTTACCAATGGTCATACTGCCACAGGATTAGCAATATCCAGGTATTTTAGATTTGAAGTGGTGTTTTATACCTTTAAAACCAAGAACTGTGCCAGACACATGTCAATGTTGAGTCTAAAATCCAGTTCTTCTATTTTTGTTTGTCTCAGAAATGAGGCCTTTTAATCTTCATCATCTAAAGTTTTATTTGCTAGTGGAAGTCCATTCCTCGATATTTTATGTGTAATGTTAGAAAGTTAAGCTCTATTAATTCTCTTAAGTAGTGTGTTAAATGTAGCTTTAAGTTACAACATAATGTTAAAAATAGAAACTCTACGATATAAGATTTGTTACAAACTCAAGCAAGAAGATGAAATAATGAAGACACTCTTCACACAGAGATGCCAGCAAAGGGGGCCCATAAAAAGTTACAGCCTTCTTATCAGGAAAAAAACAAACATTCTTCCACCTCCTCTCCGTCTCTTTAAAACCACCAAGATTAAAAAGAAGAAGTTAACAAAAACAAAAAAGTTCTTAATTTACAAAAAAAATTATGCATCATGTATGAGATATATAAATATACAGCAAGCTATTAAGGTTATTCCTTTGTTCACAAAGAATGGTTTTCATAACTTAATGTCTGAGAGCATCCGGACGTCGGTAATAATTTCCCTTTTATTGCTTTGTAATTGTCCTAAATTTTATTAGCCTAATTGTATTACTACTTCTGTAACCATTTTATTATTATTATTAAACTTCCAAAATCTTAAAAAACCGAGCGATCGGCGTTTTTCACGCGTTGGCTCACAAGGCGTTAGAAGGGACCTCAGAGACGCCCTGGCTCCAATGCCCCGCCATGGGCAGGGACACCTTCCACAAGAGCAGAGCCCCATCCAGCCTGGCCTTGAACACTCCCAGCGAGGCACAGCCGCCCTGCCTCCCCTTCCCAAGGGCTCGGGAAAGGCCTGAAGCCACGGGGCTTACCTGGGGAGGGTGGCCGAGCACCGTGTGGGGATCCCGGGCACGGCGAAGAGCGGGAGCGGGGCGGGAGCCGCGGCGCTGACGTGAGGGAGCGGAGGCGGAAAGGGCGGGCCGGGAACCGGCCGTGAGGGGAAGCTCGGGAGGAAGGGAGCCGGGAGACACGGCCAGCAAACAGCAGGATTTGGTTAGGAAATCATCAGAGGAGCTGGTGTGAAGTAAGTCTCTGGCGTGTACTAAAGGAAGAGAGAATTAAAGGGGGAAGAGAGTGAAAGAGAGAGGGAAAGAGAAAGGGATCCAGCTGATGTTCAGGGCAGGGATACCTTTTTAGGATGGTTTCCTGTTGTAAATGCAGGCGAACCCAGTGGGGAGAAATGACCATGTCTGACTCAATTCAGAAGGCTGGATGATTTCTTTATTATAACTACGCTAAAATACATTAATATACTATATAAAAGGAGGAAAACTACATACTACTTTCTCTGACTCTAACTCTTAACACAACCCATGACCCTCTCTGAGAGTCCAGCCCCAGGTGGGTTGGATTGTCCACCAGGTTCAAACAATCCTCACCAGAATCCAACCAAGCAATCACCCCAGGTAAACAATTCTCCAAACACATTCCACATAGGAAAAACAAGGAGCAGAAATATTGTTTTCTCTTTCATTTCTCTCTGTGCGCATCTATGAAAAATCCTGAGAGGGAGAGAAATGTGCTCGCCACAGTTTCCCTGCCCTGAGGGCTCGTTTCTCTCTATATAAATTAGTTTTCATGCACTGTCTGTTCTGTCAAGGGTCTGGAACGGCCTTGGATCACTCCTACAGCCCATGCCCATGTCTTGGTCTCATTCCTGTGCCTGCACTGTGGGTTTGTTGTGCTTATATCCAAGAATTTAAGCAAGTATGGTTGTCCAAGAAAAGTGGTGCCCTACCTCCTCATAGCCCCCTTCTCCAGTCACAACTTGTTCTTCTTCACAGTGTGTTATTACCAACACTCTTTTGGTATTAAAGAATTCTTATCTGATGGGATTCCTGTCTGATTCATTGGCTCCACAGCCATGCAGTTATCGGTGTTTGAGACATACATTGGGCCCTTATCTTCTGGGATTCTACAGAGGAGGGAGATGCTCTTGTGAAAAATGTATATTTTATGATTGGCTTTTCGCAAATATTACAATGAATATTATATGTGTAATGTTAGAAAGTTATGCTGTATTAATTCTCTTAAGTAGTGTGTTAAATATAGTTTTAGGTTCCAACATAATGTTAAAATAGAGATTATGTATGTAGGGGGAGTTTTTTTTAGGAATGAGATACTCACTTCAAGGAACACCTAAATCTTCCAAAGGAGAGGAATTTATGGCTTCTTATCAGAAGAAGATAATTTCTTCAGGCCTTGCTCAGACTCAAAGATGCCATGGGGATTGAAGGAAACAGTTGACATACAACAGACAGAGTTTCTTGTTTTAAATCGAACGTATGTATAACCATGAGGGATTTATGAATATGCTGATTCCTTTGTTCACAAGACATGCTTTTCATGACTTAGTGTCCAAGAGTATCCGGATGTCCATAATTCTTTGCTTTTTATTGTCTTGTAATTGTCCTAACTCTAAACTTTACTACTCTAATTGCATTATTATTTTTATAACCATTTTATTATTATTAAACTTTTAAAATTTTAAAAACCAGTGGAAGGCGTCCCTGCCCATGGCAGGGGATTGGAACTAGAGGATCTCTAAGGTCCATTCCAACCCAAGCCATTCTAGGATTCTGTTCAATTTCAGCAAATAAATCTGGGTTCAAAATGCAGTGGATTAATATTTCTCCACTGCAAAAACTCACTGACTAGAAGACTGTACCAACACATCTGTGGCTTCCAAAGATAAGATCCGCATTTTACAGGTTTACATTCTTATAAACAGTAAAGCAGAAGTCAGTATCTGCATCAACAGTATTGGCATTACTTGCCAAAGACCTCTTTTTGCCTCCTGCTCATAAATCTCATCTGAAGCTTATTGTAACTCAGGTTTTGCAGCCTATCCCCTCCAAGATAAGATCACTGGAGTCCTTCATCAGAAAACAGGGGAAACAGGAGTAGAACTTGGGCATCTTACCTAGCTTCAGTGCACCTCCCTGCACCTTCAGTACTTTTAAAAATACCACAAAAGTGAGCTTCCATTTAATAAGCTGGTTTACATCATCTAAGTGCTATACTATGTCAAATCTAATTAGATCAGTGTGTGCTGCAAATAGGAGTCTTTCTCCCTAGTCCCAGCTGGAAGCATATCCAAAGATCTTCAGATGATGTTGTTACTTGTTTGCATCTTGTCTCCTTTTCCTGCAGGAGATTTGAAGGTTTATCTCTTCAGTTTCAAAAGTGGCTGCAAATTAATAAAAACTTGGGTTTTATGAGTATTATAAAAGCAGCAAACACAGGGATTATTTAAGAGCCTTTCAGCCATATGTGGGACACGTACAGGTGGTAAAAACACTGGGGTAGAGAATGGTATCCCTACTGTGTGCTAATATTTTGGTGTAATAATAAAATTTTTCACTGAATTTTCCTGGACATGTATTGCTTTCAGAAAACACAGTCTTAATTATTTTCTCATGTTCATTTTTACTAGTACAAGTACAAAATTATGCACTGTAAATAAAAGGGAATTTAGGAGAGTTTTCTTTTCAAAATGTTCAGAAATGGAACAGTCTGAAGGGTAACAGAGAGTCAGCAAGACCAGCACTCCTAAGCAGAATAATACTTTGCAATTCTAGTATGCCAAATGTTTACAAGGAGGTCAGAACACTTAACATATGTTTAGTTCATTCTTAGCTCAGTATTCACGTGTCACAGACCAGGAAATACAGAGAGGGGATTTGACTGATAGACTAATTGATTTACCAAATGTTAGGCAGAAATTGCTGCCAGTCTTATTTCCTAAACCCAATATTTTGTTTCAATTACAGGATCAAAGGAAAATGCAACACTTGCTGATCAATGTTCAGATTCAGCCAGCTCTGTTTGTAGAAGACTGTAACCATGTAGAGCATTAATGCAGTACAGATTGTGCTCCCTATTCCCTGGTCATACAGTGTGGCTCTGTCTCCTTCTACTGGTTTACATTTGTTGTAGATTTGCTCCTTCTGGCTCTGAACTACTACAGATTTATATTTTGTTAGTTAACTGGAGTTCCTACACTGAGTGCCAAGTCTTGGAATTTCTCAAGCCAATTCACTCAGGAGGTTATTAGGCATAAAAGCATTCATTTTCTGCTTAAAATGGCTTCACTGTCTGTTTGGTTTTCAGGAGCAGAGAGTGAGGAGTTAAGAATTCACATTTATCCCAGCCAAAATCTGATTGAGATACAGCTCATATAATTCAAATGGTTTATGCTGGTGCCACTCTGAAAAAAATATTATTATTTTATATGTGGATATCTATAGACAAGTCTATCCACAAAAAGCTCTACTGACATCTGGTACTTAATGGAAACCATTTCATTTGAGAGGCCTATGAATGATTATTGATTTTTCTCTATCATTCCCAAAACAACAGCAAACAATCCTGAATATTTTTGCTGAAATAGTCAAAGTGACATAACATAATTATTGCATTATTATGATGGATCTCGTCCACTGTACCTACAACATCATGATTCCTGCAAAGTCAATGTTCTTTGTGGAGCAAAGTGGGGGCCAAATCCTGTAGTCTTGGCCTCTTTGGAATCATTATACAGCCTGGGTCATGCAAAACACCAAAAAAACTACAGACCAGCCGTGGCTACTCCATCTCCCTGAAACAGCACCACTGAAAAAGCTTTGGGACACGTCACACAGAATACAATGTAAATTAAAAAATATAGCCTGTGAATCTGCTGTGAATATAACAAAGATGAAGCTACTTGTAACAAAAGGGTTAATAAACCATTGGCAGGATAAAAATGCAGACTGTAAAATCAGACCAAAAGTCTGGCAAGCAGACCAGTTTGGGAGATGTTCGTGTGTGTAGTACACATGTGTCTGAAGGGCACCTTGGGCCTTTTGGAATAGGCATTTTGTTTTTTTTTTTTTGTGAGGCCCACTTCTTGGCAGTGTAATCTAATGAATTTGCAATCTAATTTCTTTGCAGCGCAGTTTAATGAATCTGCAGTCCCATGTGTGGGCAGACTGCAAGTTACCAGGAGAGGGTGTAGCAGGAATAAACTGAAGAACAAACATCCATCTGCCAGGACTGCCCGACGTGCACTTGTTCCTTGGTGGAGGAAGGGCGAGTACCCAATGTTTCCTCTGGTAAATCAGAAGACAGACATTCCTAAAAGGACAGTGACAGGCAGCTGCCTGGCTCAATGCCCTTTTTATGGGAATTTATGTCTCTGCCTGAATTCTGCTGAGACCAGATGTATGCAGGGAGGGAGGGCAGGGATAGAGATTTTACAGTGATTTATTACAATGCAGATGGTGAGACCAGAAAGAGACCGAGGTATCTATTCTGGCTGCCAGTTGTGTTTTCCTTACTTGCTAGATGGAGTTAGAAGGGGAAGAGAGTCTTGAGGCTGACCCACATTTTCATCAACTAAAAATCCTATAGTAGTGATGTTAGCACAGTGGAAAAGAAACGTAACCCCCAAAATTTTCCATGTTCTGTTACACTTTGCTGAAGTTAGGGACAGCGTATGTGGCAACCTGAGCCCAAGTGAACTTAGACTCACCTTTCAGTTAAAATGCTCTGGAAGTGCCTTTTTTTTCTGCACTCAGATTAAATTAGAATGGCTTTAAACTGACTAAACACAGACTCCTTTCTCTTTTGAAAACATAGGATTTCTAATCAAAATACAGATGCAAAAGTACACAGAAAGAGGGAAACTGAGATTGATGTATCTTTGGTTTAGGGAGGAAAAATAATATAATTCAATAAGACTAGCTTAAGCCCTCTAATTACAGCTTTTTTAGCATAACAGATAGGGAGTATGAGATCTACACTGAGATAGTCATAGTTGGTACAGATCAAAAGAGCTTGTGTTCATGCCAACTAGATTAAATGACAGGATGTGGTGAAGTACTGGGTTACTTTACATACAAAGCCTTTTTTATTGAATGTATATATATTAGGTGAAATGCATTTATAAATGGAAACTGTAGAAATAAATTGAAAGCTGTGTATCATGTGTAGAATATTTGTTCTGATAATAGTCCAATATTGTATTTCTTCCAAATTAGTATGTAAAAATGTATTTTTTTACAGCTATCTTTTACTAAGATTGGAAGTAAATTGTATTAGAAATTTAGGTTTATTTTTATATGCATTAGCATTCCACCTGTCTCACTTGTTAGCTTCTTTGCCTAAATTCAATAGAATAATATATTTTATACTCTGTTTTAGCAGAAAGCCTAAAACAACTTTAGGATTAAATTAAACTTAGGACCCAAATTGTAGTTGTCATTTTAAAGTGGTTTTTAATATTTATTTACCTACACATGCCCCCTGAAGAAGCAGGATAGAAGTCTTTGGCCTGACCAAGTGTGGCTGCTGTTATGTTCCTTATGCACTCTGCAACAGCAGGATGTGGGAGGAAGGGAATGCAGATGTCAGGAAGGGAAAACTGCTGGATATAAAGATGCCACAGGCCTGTGCCATCACACTCTTCTGTAAGGCAGGAGTGTCTGTCCCTCACGTCTGCTGAACAGGCCACCAAGTCCTGCCTGGTTGAGCTGTGCTAGAAAGAAACAAGGAGGGTTTCTGGCATCTCTGCAGGAAGGCTGATGACCTAAAAATGAAATGTTTAGCATGAGAGGCAACTGAATTGGTTTCATTAGCTACATCTACCTGAAATAAAACCCAGTGGTGGGTTTTACTGTAAGTAGATGCTCCAAAAGCAGCAGGGACTTAGGGAGTTAAGCAGGAATTTACTTGAAGAGTAATTTCAGCTGCAAAGCTGTAACAGCCAGGCTAATAGTAAGCAACTGATACAATGAACAGGCTGAGCTGCTATTCTGATCCACTGCCACGTGAAAAGGTCCCATCATGTCTCATTTGCTGTGCAGTTCTGTGGTTCTGGTTCCTCTGGCTTCAGAAAATGTTTTCAATGTTTTATAACCTTAAAATCACAAGCAACCTAGGAGAGCTTGCTTGTACTTATTTATGCTGCTGATGGACTTTGCATAGTGATGAAAAATATTCAGCTTCACTGCCGTGCTGAAGAACCATATAATCATACCATTGTTTAGGAAGGAATCCTTAGGAAAGATCATCAAGTTAAACCAGCCCACCACTAAACCATGTTTCTAAGTGCCACATCTACATGGTTTTAAACTTTTAAAAACCACTAGGGATGGTGACATCACCGCTTCCCTGGGCAGGCTTTTCCAAAACTTGCTTACTGTGTATTCACCACAGTGAAGAAAGTTTTCCAATTATCCAGTCTGAATCTTCCCTGGCACAAGTTGAGGCCATTTCCTTCTCCTGTTGCTTGTTACCTAGAAGATGCCAGCCCTCATCTGGCTACAACCTCCTTTCAGAGCAATAAGTTCTCCCTTGAGCCTTCTTTTCTCTCTTCTCTGGGGCTAGACAACCCCAGCTCCTTCAGCTACTCCTTGTAAGACTTGTGGTCTTCTACTCAGGACTGAGGCAAACAAGGCAGTAAATACCTCAGCCTTTACCTTCATCTTTTGTCACTGGGTTTCCTCTGGCATCCAATAAAGGATGGATATTCTCCTGAGCCCTCCATTTGTTGCTAATGTATTTAAGAAGGATTTTTTTTTTATTGTGTGGCAGTTGACAGGTTAAGTTCTGTCTGGGCTTTGGCCCTTCTAATTTTCTCCCTCCATAGAACTTCATGACAGTCTTGTCCTGAGTTTCCTGCCCCTTCTTCCACAGGTCATAAACTCTCATTTTTTCCAAAGTTCCAGCCAGCACTCTCTGTTCAGCTGCACACTTAGAAACCTGCACAGCTCTTTCCTCTCTGCTGTATTTCTAGAAGACATCCTGTAAGTTGAAGTCCCCCTCAAGAACAAGGACTAGCAATTGTGAAATTCTCAGCTGCTTATAGAGTCTTTCATCTGCCTCTTCACTGTGGATGGAGGATCTCTAACAGATTCCCACCAGGTTATCTGACTTGTTGGTCTGCCCCCCTCATTTTCACCTATAAAAGCGAAATGTCATATATATATAATGTATAAACCCTTCTGTCACCGTCATTAAGCTCTAGACAATCAAAACACTCCTTAACATACATGGCTACCCCAGAAGGAAGTCAGGGTGTGAAGCAGAGATTGACAGCCTTGGGTGGCCTCTTGCACATTGACAAGAGTGGAAAGAGCCGTGGTTCTGGGAAGGGAACCCCAATCCATACATTCTGCACAGGCTATTTTTACTGCCAGGCATAACAGAAGAGGGAACTTAAATGTGCCCTTAAATGGTTTTGCACCTCAGCTCCCTCTGCAAATCCCCAGACGTAGAGATAGTGACAGGAGATATAACTAAGATTGCAGAGGATTACAGGCAGGAGAGGGGGAGATCTCTTGGAAAGAGAGAAAAGTACTCTTTGAAGAGAAATCTGTCCCAGAGACTGTAGCTGTACTAAGGTAAACAGCGGTGGGTTCACTTTTTGGCTCAGAGACTGACTGATAAAATGTGGGACCAAACTGTGAAACTGAGCTAGTCTCCAAAGCAGGGCTGCCACACACATATTGCCTATTAGAAGCACCTCCTGCTCATGCTGCAGTCCTGAATCACACCAGCAAAGTATTGGGTCAGTTGGCCCAGATCAACCATTTAAGAATGCAACACTGGAGAACACTACTGGGAAGAGATGCCCTGCTGTGATCACCTCTCCTGCAGGATCCTGCAAAACTTCCATGACAATTGCCTTGGTGGTTGGTGGCTGAGGAGGAGACAGACCAGAATGTGGGGCAGCTACTCAGTGCCCTTGAGACTCTGGATACTCTTGAGGCCATCAGGAAACACTAATCCAGTTCCAGTGTCCTCTGGGGGTCAATGCTGTGCAACTCCCGAGGCAGGCTGTGCTGTGGGAAGCAGGTCCTCCCAAAAAGGCCAGAAGTAATAGAAACATTTCACAGCCAAGGCTAGAACTGGTCACCATCACCAAGTCACTGAATAGCTCTGGCCCAGATCCACAGAAACTCCATCTGGTCCTTCCTCTGGGCTGAACCTGCACTGCCAGAGGCAGTCCCACAGCCATGCCTGGCACTGCACTCCAGGTGATGCAGCTCTTGGCTCCTGCCTGAGGCAACAGCTGCCCTTGCCCAATCTACTGGGACTTGGGTTTGCTGCTGCAAAATATTTTGCATGTATAAAGGCTTTAAATACAGGCTAGACATACAGACTGTGATCTGAACATTTCTGAGGAGTGGGCAGTCCTGTTTGAAGTGAATGCCACTCAAAACTCGACACTAATAGCATCACGAACAAGAAAATGCAGGATTAATAATGGGGTAAAAAAAAAGCAGTAAATCAATGTATTTTCCTGGCACTTTGTCAATACCAACTTTAGACAACTTCATTACAGAGTTGAATATGCAGGCCACAAGCCTCTTACAGATCAGACAGCTTAACCAAAAATCCCTCTCTGCTATCAAACCTATTTGAAAGGAATAATTTGGGGAAGATGATCTGAATTGTATTGACAAGCTGTGTCTGCTGTCTCTGAAGGAATCACTGAAGACCACGTCTTCCTTTTTCTGTGCAATTCCCCATCTTCCTTCTTTGTACCAATTCCACGATGTCCCTAACAGAATCAGTGATTGTGGAGGTGAGAGCACAGCATTGTAGCTTCCCATACAGAGCTACATTTTGCCTTACATTGCTTAAAATTTGGTCCGTGCCATGCCTCAGCTGTAAATTACCTTTTGTTTTGTGAGGAAAACTATATATTGTACGCAAATACTGACTCCATGCAGAGAAACCTTGGAGGGTTGTAATCTCCAAGGACCTGTACAAATGGTGAAATTCAAAAGAACTAAACTGGTGTGAAACAAAAGACCCAAACCTGATTGTTGGGGATTGGAGCAGCACCTCATTAAAAAAAACACAAGCCAAAAAAACACAAGCCAAAAAAAACCACGTAACGTGTCCCTGCACATGGGCTGCAGCCATGCCTGTAAACAGATTTGTTTCCTTCCATGAGCACACAGGGATGGTTTGCACAGGAAACAAGCAAGAGCTGCCAGGCAGCTCCACTTGTTCAATGCAGTCCCTCCAAATTTGGGAGCACATTCCATTCCCTGGCTTGGGCGAGGCAGGGGTTTTCCAGAGCACTCCTCGGAGCTGCGTCAGAGAGCGTTTGGTCTGGGCATGACATCTCAGATGCATTATGATTTTATTTAGGACACACTTCAGCTCTGCAGGCTGCAGAGGCAAGGTGCCACACTTCAGCAAGAAGGGGAAGGACTATAAATAGAGCAGGCTGGGCTGCCACGGGCGGCTTTTGCTGCTTCAGCCTCCAAGAAGCAGAAATCCAATCTGCTGAGGAGATAATGCACAGTACAGGCACACACAGCAGCTCTTCTCTCCTACAATAACTGTCTTTCATTTTGTAGGACACAGGGACAGACACTTACCTTCAAGGAACAAGGACACACCACCTTCCATCTCTGCTTTCCTCTAGCTGTTTTTTTGCAAGCTCCTTATATGCAAACTGCCATGTTTTCATGAAACGATGTTCCCCTCTACTCATGGGCAACACATTCCTTCATTTACAAAACAAGGAATAAAATTAGTCTCAAAATTAAGTGCAGAGAGGTAACAACCATTACGTATTTTGAGGCCCAAGGAGCTTTAAGAATTGTTGTTTAATAGTACTTGCTCTAAGTTGTATCCCATGAGGAGATCTCCCCAGAATTGTTTGAATAAAGAAGGGACATTTTTGCTGCAGGGCAAGTACATAAAAATAGCACCAAGAGCCCAGTCCTCTGGCTCAGGAGATTTTTGGTTTCCCTTGCAGGTACCTACACTGAGAGCTTTTTCTTCCCTTACTCTGTGCTTAACTCAGTCACTGTTAAAGAGAGAAAACGTATTTCTACCTATTTCCACAGCCTTTCACACCTTTCAGTGAGTATATTTTATTTACAGCACAAAGCTAATGGAAGCAATCTTTGAACAGTGCATTTTAGACTCAAAGCACTCAAATTCTTTGAATTCCACACCCCCAGAGCTGCAGCCAAGAGTGCAGAGTAATGGTTCCCCCTATTCCCTCCTGCTGGAATGCACCCTAAGGAGGACAATATTTAAGATCATTTCAGAATATGCTCTCAACATTACACCACGCACAAAAGGAGATGCAATTACTTGGGTCAAAAAAAATCCGATACTAAATATTATTATTAAACATACTTGAAAGCAAACCATCAATTCTTAGGGAAGACAGGTGAATCTCATAAATCTTTGTCTTCCACAAAATATTTAGCCTACATTGCCTGTGTTTTCATCCCTGCTGGCCCTTGCTAAATCTGAGATACAAGGACCTAAGTTTGTAGAGGAGAGCATCAGTGACCTACTAAAACCAAGGACTTCCACAGACACACTTTGTTTATGGTCCACTGTAATGTTCCTCCTCCCCACCCTCTGCTACACAGGCATGAAGGATTTCTCCATTCCACAAAGTTTAGGGTTTAATAGCCTGTGAGGCTTTTCTGTACATTACTTCTCTAAATCTTTAAATGGATATTTGAATTATATAATTTGTTCATATTAAGAAAACACTACATATAATTTTATTTGTGGAATATCAAGTTGAAAACAGATCTAAAAACAACGGAACATATAAACTTAATAGGAAACCCAACTAAAATAATAAAACAGTGCATTTTTCTTGATAGTTTAATTTCAGTATGATCTTCAATAAAAACCTTACTCCTTTAAACCTGAGTATTTTAGCCTTTGTTATCGTTTCTCTACTGTAGTAAAGAATCCTAAGTCACTTTAACAAACATTCCAATTAATAAATCCAGTAACACAACAACTTTCTGTAGAAGTTCCCACTGTATGAATGCACAAGGACAACACTATATATAATAAAGCCAAACCATTTAACAAGTGTGAAGAGATTTGCACTATGAATAAACTGAACACAAACCCAAGTGAACTCTGAAATTACAGAGCTGTGTTAACACAAAGGCACGTTTTTATTTTCAGTGTAAATTCACATTTGTAGAAGGTTAAATTTTGTGCCCAGGCAACTTCAAGTCATCACAGCACAATCAGCCAAACAACTCTGATTGCACATATCTGAACTTTCAATAGAAAAATCTGCCTTCTATTTCTCCAATCCAGTTTTATTAAAGAAGAAATTAAATTAGAAATAGAAGGGCTCCCCCTCCCATATTTACAGACTGCAAACTATATTGCTCTCTCATCAGAAATTCTAATTTTCCTGTCAGATTTTGTTAAGCTTTGTAACTATCAGCACCCTCACAGTTTGGTCATAAGCCCCACAGACACAAAGTCCTGTTTTGTCAGGGCTCCAGTCCAGGCTAGAGATGGGCTGTGTTGACAGAGTCACGTTCTGCAAGAGACTCAGAGACCCTGCCACCCCCATCTCACATCCTTCCGAATCCTTCTTCGAGCGCTGGGCTGGGTACTCACTGCCAAGGAGAAAATAGAACAAAAACACCCACTTAGAAATCTATTGATACAATCATCGTCCTCTTTATTTCCTGCTCTACACATAAGGCAAATAAATGTCCTAAAAGTAATGAATAATCATATCCAGCTGTATGGACGCTGCATACTTTAGCAGACATTTCATGAAAGAAAAAAGGGGATAGGAAATTTTGAATCCTGACACCCCTATCCTATACCTCTTCATTTTTTAACTGGTTGGCTTTTACCATAGCCAGAAAAATTTCATCACAACTATGCTTCTGAAACTTAATGCACCAACTTCATTGCATTTAGGAAAATCAAACTATTTTCTCATGTAACGTAAGAAAATGTAAACATAAGAATGATTAAGTCAAGGTTTTCAATATTCTTCTCTGATGTAACTGCTACCATATTAGAAATTTAAGAAACCCTTTTTTTTTTTGCATTTATCACCTTGTTAACCACGGATATAATTAGATCTTCATAAAATGAAGACAGCAAGGGCAAGATTCACCTGTGCTGTAACATTCTCTTAGGGATTAATTCAAGATTCCAGCTCAAGTGCTGACACTGAAATCACCCTCTCTACTGCATTTGTAAGCAATAATTTTAACCAGATATTCTGAGGCTGGAAGCAGGACTCCACTCATCATTTTCTGGAGAAGTGATCACTTACTATTTCCAGAGATGAAGGCTCCCAGATCCTCCACTTGTCATAAATATATCTCTGTTCTGTGGCAGGTGCCGAACCTGCCAAATGGTAGATTTTTGTGCCTAATAAAAAGAAATCAGCATTGTACACAAGTCATTTGGAGATGAACTTCACAGGAAAGGACACAGAATCTTAAAACAGAGATTACTTGTATGAAAAGAGCCTTCCCAAAGTGGATAGTTAATTTCACTGTATGGTATCTCTTAAAATCACTACTGGAAGGGAATATATTACAAACACTGTGCAAACACAACACACAGTGCACAGCTCAAACCTCACCAGGGCACTAAAATCATACAGCAACAGAAATCACTTATGGAAAAACCCCAACATGTCCTCTGACTTAATGTATATCTGTCTGCAAATGTCCACAAGGAAAAGCTTAAATGCACTAAATGAACAACAAATTCTATTTTCACATTTTATCACAAAATTATTTATAAATAAATAAATAAAATTTATTTATTAATTTATAATATATTGTTTTTATTGTAAAAAAAAATATATTTGTTTCAGAACAAAGTACCTCCGACACCTTATCTGCTTTGAATGATAGTATGGAAATACTAAGAGCTAGTAACTTGAAACTCAGCCTTTCCTAAAAAAGGTAAGTCCTAAAGAACTTCAGCCCAAAAGTGCCTTTTCTTGAATTATCATCAGATTTTGTTCACTAAACAAAAAAAAAAAAAAAAAAAAAAAAATGAAATAACCTTGGCATTTCAGCATTTCTTACCTATCTGTACTACACCTGTAGTAATTTGACAGATTTGACAGCATGAATTTAGAAAGTTTGTGTCTTATTAAGAAATTCTCAGTCTCCCCATACCTTCTCTGAAACATAAGCAAAACCTTTGGTTGGATGCTGAGTTCTCATATCAAACACATGGAATTTCCCCTCAAGCGATGTGGCCACCAGCTTATTCATATTTATATCTTTTCTGTCAAATTCCACACTGCAAACCTGGATATAGAACAAGATAAATTCAGTTTTGTAATTTAGTAATGCTCAAAAAAAAAAAAAAAAAAAAAGCATCTTTTGTGATTTGTAAACATGTCTTCATTATCAGTTATTTCCACAATAATATAATCATCAAAGAGGAAATAAACATGTTCATCTGAAAATATTAATCCACTGAAAAATACCCCATCCCGTCCTGATCAAGAATGTGAGGGGTACAACTTGCTGAGCCTAAAGAAAATTATTCCTTGGTACAAGCTCAACAGAAACATCTTCTGGGTAAGTTTCACACAGAGTCCTTTGAATTTTTCCATCCTACCTAGGAGCTGGAATAAAAAAACTTTTATGATTTCCTTACCCCATTCTTAATGTTGGTCTCCCATCGTAGTGACATGGTTTTTAAGTCAAACAATTTAATGTCCCCATTGTCATATCCGGCACACACAACACGTTCCTCTAAATTGTAAGCATTGCCTGGACACAGAGAGAGAATGAACCAGAAAACACAAAACCTCTTTAGCCTGTAAATTTCCCAGGACTGAAGTTTCAACTTCCATTTATACAACAACAACAACAAAAAGTTGCTGGGATATTAAGATGTGGTGAACTGGATGGTTTTCAAACTTGAAGGGTCTAGAAAAATCTTGTGTGGGACACAAGCAGCTTTTCCAAAGAAAAATGCACAGCTCCCATCAGTCATTGCTGATTTCTTTAATTAGCTCTTAAGCTTCAAGGGTCTTGTCTTAAATTAACTCCTGAATGCCTGGTAGCTGCAACCCCACCACAACAGTGGTGAGTTCCCTGTACATGGCAACATTTGCACTCCCTTCAGGACCACACAGCTATATATATTGTTTTTACACTTCTAGGCACATAAATAAAGCTTGCACAGCTTATCTGTGAAACCACAGAATCATCAAATCCTTTAGGATGGAAAAGAGCTTCAAGATGTTCAAATCCAGCTACAAACAGTGACTAAAAGTGATTAGAGAATGAGTCCAAAACTTAACTATCACAAACCCACAAAACTGGTTCATTTTGAAGGAAAAAAACCCCACACATAAATTTAGCAGTGTAGAAAAGCAAAACCTGCTACTTATGCACCCATAACATCCTGAAATACATCGACAATCATCAAAACACATTCACGTGAGGGGGAGGAATGGTCATCATCTGATCAATTACCAAATGCCACGGTCCAGCAGTCTCTTTTGCTCTCTCCCTGTACAGATTCCATATTAGCCACAGGAATGTCATTCTGCCTTGGGTCCCACACCTTCACAGTTCCTGGGAAAGAAAGACAATAGATTTTCTATTAGGAATACAGTCATACTGTGTTCACCTTCCCAGGAAAGCCCTTTGCTTTTCATTCTAATCATTCAAAAGACAAGAGCAGCTCTTTCAATTCTAGCAAGCCTCACTGTGTTTTGTGGCTATAAGAAAGAACCACAAAACCAAACAGAAACAGAGTGAAAGCATTTGTTAAGGATGCATTTTCTCTAGCTGATATTTTGCATTTATCATGGTTTGTGTTCCTTCTGTCTCATGCCCAGTGACAGCAGTACCTTTTGCTTATCTGTGGTTCTAGAAGAATTAGGGAAAATCAGTCCCAAGCGAGATTCAAGAGACAGTGTACAAAGAACTAGTTGCAACAGCTTGTAACTAGTTCAGATGGCAGACTGTGCCCTGCCATCAGGAGCTTGCAGGCTCAGAGGAACTGGGAAGACTTGCAGAGTTCACTAACTCACCATCTCGACTGCCAGTCACAATTTCTGGTGCACCTTCCCCAATTCCTAAGCCACCTACACCATCTATACTGTTTATGATTTCCTTATGACCTTTCACAGAATACACTGGTATTTCAGGAGCTTCTAAATTCCTAGGCAAGAAAGAAAAAGAACAGAAAACATGGCATTTTTCCTTGACACTCAGGATTTGTATAAAAATGAAAGGAAACTTGAGCACAAATCATAAAAGCTCAGATTAACAGTGAGAACAAATATGGATATCACCACTAAGAACCACGAGTCTTTGATTCCTTCTTTGGCTACTACATTGGACTGCTACAAAAGATTTTTGCTCTGTTCTGGACCTCTCTGTTTGTAAAGGCAGTTGTGGGATTCACCACAGCAGCCACTCAGAGCCAGTTTTACATGCTGGGCTCAAAAATGAATCACACTACAGATCAAGATACTCTGTAAAAAGTACACAGACCTGAAAGAAGTACAGAATTATCTGTACTTTCAGTAGGTCTGTAAAATAACTTGATTCATTGATCTCCACCTAGCTCTGGCTACTGCTGTCTAACTTCAGTGGATATTGTATCCAGCCATAAGTTTCATGGTTCTTTCCCACTGATTCCCATTCTTTGAGAATCCTTCAGAATTTTATTTTACATTTCAACTAGTAACTGTCCATTACAGTTTCTATTCCAACAAGAACCAGTAGTTCCTTGACACAGGGCAACATAATAATGTAATAAAAAATCTCCTTCTGACACTACTACTTCATTTGATCATAAATTTACCTAGACATTAATTACACCAATAATTCAGGGACCTAGAGGAAACATTTGATATGTCAAGATCAAAAAGATATATTTAATCTAGACAGGAAATTTAGGTTGAACACAACCTCTTGTTTGCACTCATGCATCCATTCAAAAGCCACTGCTCAGAGGACAACCTCCCAGAACTTTATCAGGTTTTTGTAGCTGCACAAAGAAGATGGGAGTGAAGCAGCACTGAATTAAACACAATTCTGTGTTTTTTCTACAAAACAGGCATGGTCCAAATACAGTAGCCAGCAAAGCTTGCACTGGGTCCCAACCATGGGCAGAATGGAGAGCATCTCATGCAAAATCCACAAACAGAAACCCCTGTTCAGACAGACATGGACAACATCAAGTGAAAACTCTTCCAGAGAATATCTGTGCTTACCATATGTTAAGGTTTCCATCGAAATCTCCTGTAGCTAAGTATCTTTGCTGCAGAGATGTAGCACCAAAAGTTCCACATTTTATAGGTTTGGGCTTTTCAATCTTTTAAAGAAAGGAAATGTCTGTGTCAGCACATGGAAAAGGCAAAATCACCCACAGGCCACACGGATCTTGGGAGCGCACAGGGGCAAGTGTCAGCGAAACACAATGGGATATTTGGTGCAAAATACTAATAAAATGCTACAGAAGGCAAGTTTGAGTTCAGTCCTTGTGCACAGAAAAGCAGAGGGTCCAGGTTGCTGGTCTGGAAGAAAACACTTTGCTTGTAGCCTAGTGGGGCCTTATGCACCTAAGGAACTGCTTACCCTCAGAAGTGAACACTCAAAGGTCAGTCTCAGAGAAAAAAATCAACCAAACAAACAAGCAAGCAAACAACCAGCCAAAAAAAAACCCCAAAACCCAATCAAAAATCCAACCAATCTAAAACTCCAACAACAAATTAAAAAAAAAAAAACAAATAAAAGAAACACCCCCCCCAAAAAACACCAAAAAACAAAATACAAACAGAGGCAGAAGCTCATAACTCAACACATAAAAAACGTAACAAAACACATGAAAACAACCAACAAAACACAGCGGTAAACAAAATCACAGAACCACAGGCTGGAAAAGAGCCTTGAGATGGTCGAGTCCAACCCATGACCGGCCACTACCTTGCCAACTAAAGCAAGGCACTGAGTGCCAAATCCAGCCTTTCCTTAAACATCTCCGGGATGGTGACTCCATCACCTCCCTGGGCAGCCCATTCCAATGTCTAATCAACCCTTCGTGAGGAAATCCTTCCCAAAGCCGAATGAAACCTCAGCGGCTGAACTCCTGGCTGTAGTTACCCGGGAGAAGAGCCGGGTGGGAGCCCTCCAGGGAGCTGCGCGGAGCGCTAAGCTTATCCCAGAGCACCAGCGGATTTAACACGCGGATCAGCTCCGGTTTTTGCCCCCGAGGGAAGGCGGGGGGACGGCGCTCACCTCCCGCAGCAGCTGCAGCCGCGCTCCGTTCAGCTCGTACAGCTGCAGCACGCCGGTGCCGCGGGCGGCGCTGCCCAGGCACAGCAGCCGGGCGCTGCGCGGCACCCACTTGCAGTCGAACACGGTGTAGCTCAGCGCCTGCTGGACGTGCGACACCACCTGCGGCCGCTCCGCCGCCAGCACCGCCGACATCCCTCCCCTTCCCCGCCGGCTGCCGGCGGAAACACCGCCGCCCCTTCCGCCGACGGCCGCCCCACGTGTGCCCCGCCGCCGGCATGGAGAGCGGCGCGCCCGCGGCCGGCGGCTTCACCAGCGTCGTGTCCCGCCGGAGCCGCAGGAAGCGCCGGGCGGGCGGCGAGCAGCCGGCGGGAGCTGCCATGGACACGGCGGAGCCGCGGCCCTGCAAGCGGCCGGCATTCCCGCCCGTGGCCGCCGAGGCGCTCGGGGTAGGCGGGGAAACTCCGGCCGGCCCCGGGTGTCCGGCTCCCGGCTCTGCGTGTTCTCCGGCCGGTCCCGGGTGTCATCCCGCCGGCCTCGGGTGTCATCCCGCAGGCCCCGGGTGTCCTCCGGCCGGCCCCGGGTGTCCTCCGGCCGGCCCTGGGTGTCCGGCTCCCGGCCCTGGGTGTCCGGCTCCCGGCTCTGGGTGTCCGGCTCCCGGCTCTGGGTGTTCTCCGGCCGGTCCCGGGTGTCATCCCGCCGGCCCCGGGTGTCCGCCCTCAGGCCCCGGGTGTCCCCCCGCAGGCCCCGGGTGTCCTCCGGCCGGCCCCGGGTGTCCGCCCTCAGGCCCCGGGTGTCCCCCCGCAGGCCCCGGGTGTCCTCCGGCCGGCCCCGGGTGTCCGCCCTCAGGCCCCGGGTGTCCGCCCTCAGGCCCCGGGTGTCCCCCGGCCGGCCCCGGGTGTCCTCCCTCAGGCCCCGGGTGTCCTCCGGCCGGCCCCGGGTGTCCGGCTCCCGGCCCCGGGTGTCCGGCTCCCGGCCCCGGGTGTTCCCCCGCCGGCCCTGGGTGTCCTCCGGCCGGCCCCGGGTGTCCGGCTCCCGGCCCTGGGTGTTCTCCGGCCGGCCCCGGGTGTCCGCCCTCAGGCCCCGGGTGTCCGCCCTCAGGCCCCGGGTGTCCGCCCTCAGGCCCCGGGTGTCCGCCCTCAGGCCCCGGGTGTCCCCCGGCCGGCCCCGGGTGTCCGCCCTCAGGCCCCGGGTGTTCTCCGGCCGGCCCCGACTCACGGCCGGCTGTGTCTCGCCTCCCCGCAGGTTGGGAAGGGCGAGCTGAGGAAGATCCCCGTGCCGGCCAACAGGTACACGCCGCTCAAGGAGAACTGGATGAAAATATTCACGCCCATTGTGGAGCATCTGCAGCTTCAGATCAGGTTCAACTTGAAAACGAGGAATGTTGAGATCAAGGTAAGGGGAGCGGCTCCTTGGGCTGTCCCCGGTGGGAAAAGGTTGTGTGCGGAGCTCGCAGCTCCTTCCCTGTGTGAAGGGGCTCCAGGGCAGCTGGAGAGGGGCTCTTTGTGACGGGACGAGGGGTCACGTTTACAAATTAAAAGCAGGGAAGTTTAGTTTCGATGCTGGGAAGAATTGTTTTACTGTGAGAGTGGTGAGACAGGTTACCCGGGACTACCCCAGCCCTGTTCAAAGCAGGCTGGATAAGGCTTTGAGCAGCCTGGTTTAGTGACAGTGTCCCTGCCCATGGCAGGGGGGTGATCTTATGGTCCACTCCAACCCCTTACCATTCTATGATTCTGTTATATGTGATAACTCGAGCAAAGAAAATTGTCGTATATTTTATAATTATAAATGTTAAGATATATTCTTATAAGAAGTTTTTAAAACTCACAAGCCAGCGACAAGGATTGCAAAACAATGTCGAAAGCACCTGGACAAAAGAGGGAGGACTCCATTCACAAGCAATTGAACGTGGGGAGATGGATCACCCATCAAGGTGGTCCAAGGAACGCCTGGATGATAAATATGAGATAAATATCTGAAATTGAGATAGCCAGAGCCATCAGGGAGATACATCTCAATACCGAATTCCAGGAGCATAGGAAACCCTCTGCTGCAGCACTCAAACCTGTGTCTCACTCAGCACCAACACCCGGGCTCGCCACTGACCTTTTTTTTTTATAGTGGCTTTTCTTTTTCTTTTTTTTTTTTTATTCTCTAAATTTATATTTGGTGCATTTAAGAGATTTTCTTAAATTAATAAATTGGAGCTTTCATTTATAACAATTCTGCCTCCTGAAAAGCAGTGCCTCTCCTCATGTATGTTCTTGGTCCGCAGGGTGAAGACTAGAGAAGTCGTAAATCCCATATAATGCTTGGAAAAATGGAAACTGTGTGGTGTCACCTCCCTGGGGACCAAAATCTGGCAATTATTGCTTAGTAGTTAGTGCAAGTAAAATCCAAATCTGTTCCAGAAGGAGCCAGCAGAAGCTGGGGGAGTGTTCTGTTTTTGTAGGAGAAAGTTATGTACTATAGAAAGTTGTGTAACTTAAGAATTTTCATCCATGTCTTAGATACGATTTTGTAATTCAATGTTTTCTGGCTATTTAAGGTTACCAAATACTGACATGACAGTACACAATATCTTATAAGGGAGCTGAATGTCTTGAATCTCCTTTGTTTGTGGCAGATGATAAGGGCCCATAGTTTAATAGCATGTGATTTTTCTTTAATGGATTGTACTGGAATACCTTAGGGCACAGACACTACTATAAACCTGTAAATCTTGTAGATGCTCATTCTTTATCCTTATTCCTCCTGAGAAATGTTTACACCAAGAGTTTTTGAGGACATATCTAAAGTTTTGACATACAATTCACTGATTTCATTTTGCCCATATCTATCATGAATATAAAACTTTGAAATTAATTTAATTCATCTTCTAAGGCATATTTAGAATATTGTCATTAGAATAACTCTCCTGCCATCACCATCCTTCTCTTTTTCCTGCTGTTTGCTGCTGCAGTTTAGTTTGTGTTGGTTTTGGGTTTTCTCCACCAAGAGTTCTATTCAGTCAGTGTGGTGTGGATTTTCAGCAGCTTTTCTTTTCTCTCCCCTTCAAGCACAGGCTGATCACTTCTAAGTTCTGCTCCTAACTTGCCTGGTCTTAATTTGCAAACATAACTTCTTGTCTTGCAGACTTGTCAAGAGACAAAGGATCTCAGTGCTCTGACAAAAGCAGCTGATTTTGTGAAAGCCTTCATACTTGGATTTCAAGTAGAGGTGAGATTGTGAGAGATTGCTCCACTTTACTGATCTGTCCCTGGCCTCTCTGCAAATTACATTAAAAAACAGTGAAAAATCCTTCGGTGGTTTTCTAGAAATCAATGTTTTCTAGAAATTGTGACTGGAGTAGACATCCAGTTTCTTAAAATAATGCTGGATAAAAAAGTAGCCGTCAAACAGCACATAAACAGAGAACATGGGTTGTGTGAGGCAAGCATAAAGCAATATCCTCTCTCTGAGGTCCTCTGCACTGGTAGACTCTGCTCATTTTTCTTAAGCCCAAGCCAATAACCCCCAGTCTGTGCAAAACTCACAGAATCACAGAATTAACTAGGTCAGAAAAGACCTTTGAGATCATCAAGTTCAAGCTATGACTTTATCAACTAAACCATGGCACTGAGTGCCACATCCAATCATTTTATAAACACCTCCAGGGATGGTGACTCTACCAGCTCCCTGGGAAACCCATTCCAATGTCCAGTCACTCTTTCTGTGAAGAACTTCTTCCTAATACCCAGCCTAAACTTTCCCTGGTGCAGCTTGAGACTGTGTCCTCTTGTCCTGCCGCTGGTTGCCTGGAGGAGAGGCTGACCCCACCTGGCTACACCCTCCTTTCAGGCAGCTGTAGGGAATTGTGAGGTCTCCCCTGAGCCTCCTCTTCTCCAGGCTGAGCCACTCCAGCTCCCTCAATCACTTCTCACAGGACTTTTGTTCCACACCCTTCATCAGCCTTGCTGCCCTTCTCTGGGCACATTTGAGCATCTAAAAGTCCTTAAATTGGTGTGCCCAAAACAGTACTGACATGATACTCAAGGTGTGGCCTCACCAGTGCCAAGTACAGGAGCAGAATGCCTTCCCTGGTGCTGCTGGCCACGCTGCTCCTGACACAAGCAGCGTGCCATTTGCTTCCTTGGCCGTGTGGGTACACTGCTGAACCCCCAGCTCCCTTTCTGCCTGGCTGCTGTCCTGCCATTCTGTCCCCAGCCTGTAGCTCTGCAGGGGATCCTTGTGGCCAGAGTGTAGGACCCGGCCCAGGGACTTATTAAACCTCATATTAATGGATTTAATATCAGGCTTATCTATCCAGGTCTCTCTGCAGAGCCCTCTTAGCCTCCAGCAGATCAACACTTGCATTTGCAGCTTGGTGTCATCTGCAAATTTGCTAAAGCTGGACTCAATCCCCTCATCCAGACCATCAGTAGATACTAAATAGGACTGGGCCTGTTGGAGAAAAACCCACTTTTTTCGGTGTTGCAGAGGCTGCTCCTTGCTCTAGACCTGTACTGGATTCATTAGCACTGGGGAGGCAGGGCTGAATGCAGGGGCATCCAAACCTGTGTAGGGTTCTCTAGATGGAAATATTTGTATTGCTGTTGAAAAGAAGTGGATTTAACTTTAGTTGTTATTTGCTAGGTTGTGTGTATAAAGAGAACAGTGGCTTTCAGCTGTGTTACTGGAACAAAACTGCTGATAACAGATCTCCTGCTCTTTTAGGATGCCCTTGCTCTCATCAGATTAGACGATCTTTTTCTAGAGTCATTTGAAGTTACAGACGGTGAGTATTTTCTGATGCAGTATTCACAAATCGTGTGTGTGTCCTGCTACTATGGATTTGTTTTCTTTTCCCCCTGCTCCAATTTTATCACTTGCCCTCAAGGACCAGGAAAGCCAGAAACATCTGATTTTATGTAGTACTGGGACTCCTTGGAGTCCCCTGTAGAGCAGGATCTAAACCTGATCTACTTTATTTCTGTCAGTGTTAACTTGGAGACTTTGACTCCATTTCCTCAACGCAAAGTGCAGAGCCTTCCTCTGCAGTTCTAAAGGAGATTCTGTGTGCCAGAAACCCTATGTCAGCACTGGCAGCAGTGAGCACTACTAGTCAAAAAAAAGCTGAAATCCAGATGGATCTGTGTTGACCAGTGAAGCTGCTTTTGTAGTACTTGGCACGAGTTGTTTCCAGCAACTTGACCAAGGGAAGCATTAACAGGAAGACACACCACTGCTGTTACCCTGGGCATGCTATTCTCATTTCAGTCAAACCTCTGAAAGGAGATCATCTGTCAAGAGCAATAGGGAGAATAGCAGGGAAAGGTGGAAAAACCAAATTCACCATAGAAAATGTGACCAGGACACGCATCGTTCTTGCCGACACGTAAGTAAAGACTGACTTCCTCTTTAGCAAAGCACAACCCCTCAGCTCAGCTAATCCATATGCTATGCCAGAAACAAAGATTACAACAGTTTCATAAAACTTGAGTAGTAGTAAGAAAAAATATTTAAGAGAATATTTTAGTGAACACAAGTTATTTGACCTTTTGTTATGGCAGTGTCACCAGTGCATCTAGAATTCAGTCACTCCTCACAGCATAAGAATTCCTTCTTATGAATAATTGAAGTTGAACTCACCAACACAGCAACATTTTCCTCCTGAAGCTGCTACACTGTTAAACTTGCAAATGGTAAAATCTATTTTAAAGGGATTTAGAACAGCACAAGTCTTATGTTGTAGGTTTTGTGGGTTTTGGTCGGGTTTTTTTTGTTGTTTGTTTACAAGTGTAGAAAGGAAACTAGTACACTGATACAAAATTCCACATTTATCTCTTACCTCCAATTCTCTATTAACTGTGCAATCTCTTAAGTTACTTTCTGTTAACTAGTGCTACTTTTATTTTTACAGAAAAATTCATATTTTGGGATCTTTTCAGAACATTAAAATGGCACGAACAGCAATTTGCAATCTAATTTTAGGTAAGTCCTCTTATCTAATCTTCACTACATATGAATCTTGCAGTTTGAGAAACTGCTTTGTGCCTCTCACCCTCTTCCCTGTCCTGTCCACATCTACATTTAGAGGAAATAGCTTGCTGGCAGTTGGCTTGTTGCTCCTAAGACAAGAATCTGGGGGAGAAGCAGGGAATCCAGAACTTGTTTTCTGGCTCCAAAACCCTCACCACATAGCAGAACGATGTTCTGTATTTTGATTTAGCTGCAGCATTCCCTAGGGGAAGCCAAGGGAGCAACCCACTCTGAAAGGAGAAGTTGAGCTCTGCACTTGCAGCAAGATGGTGACTGACCTTGCCCATCCTTCTCACCCTTTGGCTTAGCTCTTCATTTTTAATACAGGTGTGGGCACAACACATCAATTTTTGTGACAGATTACATTTTCTGACTACATTTGTGCTTTTTTCTGCAGGAAGTCCTCCATCCAAAGTTTATGGCAATATTAGGGCAGTGGCCAGCAGAGCAGCTGAGAGGTTCTGAGCTGCACCACCAAGCACTGTGGCCAGAAGTCCAGGTTCCTGGAGGCAGGAGAAGCCAAGAAGCCATCAGTTTTCTGCTGGATTTGGAAGCCCAGAAGAAAACCACAACTGTGTGTGCAGTCTGATTGACTTTGGACATGTGGTCTGATTTGAACATACCTAATGTTTCTGCCTAGTCATTAAAAGGGGTTTTAAATGGTGTCTATATCAAAAGTCCATGATTTTACTTAACAGACTCAAACAAAAGCCTGCTTTGTTATGGATTTTCTGAACATCAGACTTAAGAGGCTGCTTCTTCAGAAAGCCTTGGTGTTTAATGTTTTGAGCCTAAAGGAATTGGCAGAGTTAAGTATTTATAAGCACACATCATGGTTTAGTATCTTCCTGAAAGGAGGAGTCAGCTGGAATACAGAGTTCAGTGGCAGGCTGTCCACTGAGTCTGCTGCTGCTGGAACAATGCATCACATGAAAAGAGGAAGATGAAGGGGTAAATAACATATTTGAACTGAATCCTGAATCTGCACACATACAGATTTAATTCCTAAAAATGATCTGTAAGGACATCCTAGTAAAAAGCCAAGAGCTATCAGGTTAAGTACTTTCCATTGTACCAGAGCACCAACAACTCTTCAGGACCTATGTGTCTCTTTAAAATGTTATGTAAGTAGCATAATGCAACAAAAGTAGGGGGAGAAATTGGAGTGACCAGTCCCAGTATGATTTAAAAATGGACCCTCTTCTCCTAAACCTGCCAGACAACCTTCTGCAAAGTGTTTTGCAAAACAAATCAGTTCAGGTTTGGGAATGAAAACAAACTGAAATAAGATTATCAAATACACACGCAAACTGAGTAAGCATTTAGGTCAATGTCCAAGTTTCCAGAATAGCACTTCACAGCATGGGATTATCACTACAGCCAAACTGAATCAAGCCTTCAGTCTTGAATAGATTTAAGATTTGCTGGAGTTACCTCAGCACACACAATTTAGCATTCTGAGCAGCTCCAGGCACACCTACCTGCTCACTACGTCCTCTGTTCCTTGGCTGCTTATGTCATTTACTTCAATTAGCTTGAAAGATACAGGACAGTGAGGAAGAGCACACAAAATTGATGTTTATCCTAAATTAGTGCATAGCAACAGTGACCCAAGCAGCAGAGGGGAGAGGACAGCACGCAGAAGGTCCAAACACCTGCAGCCCAAAGAGCACAGCACAGAGCTGCTCTGTGGGCACACCTGTGCAAGGAGGGCTGGTGTCATCAGGACAAAGCTCAGACATTTTCTGAGACATGAACTGCCTTTTATTCTCCACTTACATTAATGTTAGAGGGGGTTAATTTGTTTTTTACAACCACTTTCCCCAGGGATTTCAAACAAAGTAGGTTATCCACTCTGAATGTTTAGTGAAGAGACGCAGGTGTGCCATTAAACCTCAACATGTCTTGAAACGCTGAAATGAGCCCTGGAGGTTTTCAGCAGACTGCACCCTGTGGAGTTTTTCAGTGAATCTTAATAATCAAGGAATGGACAAAAAAATATGAACAAGTTTTCTTCAGAGCAAGGTGCAGAGCTGCTTTAAGGTGAACAGGAAAGGTACTGAGCACCCCAGCTAAGGTTCAAATATTTTATTTTGTATTCATACAGTATGAAGGTTCTTATAGTTCCCACAATATATGATGTAGCATGCAGAGGAAAAACTAAACATTCAACATAAATCATTTTTCCCCACACAAACTGAAAAAAAAAAAACAAAACCTCATCCCTCCCCTTCCAGTCCCCCTAAGGAAATAACATTAGCACTAATTTCTATAATGCCAGCCAAGATATGCACAAGCAAGAAAAACTGAAAGCATTTGCTAAAATGTTTGTAACAAATACTTATGTACAAAAAATTCACAAAAGACTAATTCCCCCTTGAAGCAGAGCACATGGCAGTTGACACTGGAACAGATACAACCACTGGCTGGGATTATAAACCACGTACTGATCCAGAAGAAGAAAAAAAGTTACATGTAGAGGAGATTTTTGTTTTGAACATCAACATTTACCAAAGTTTGGCAACATTATCTTTTTAATTATGCAAATTATGTAAACAAGAGGAACATTTCAAATCGATCTACATGCAAAACTTCATGTCATGCAAGGACACTAAGCACCTGGATTTCTCTCTCACAGACAGAGCCCATGATGTGCAGCACTCAGTTGAAGGAACAGCTATGGCAGACAGGTGCTCGATTGAAGAGGTTTAGACAACCTGCACTTCCCACTGCTCATTATAAAACAATTTTTGTTTTTAAATAGAAAAACTACTATACAGGAAAGATGCATTGTCCTAAAAAATCTAGCAAATGTTTTTCTTCCAGCCAATAGTACCACTGCAGAAAAGGGAAGGGATGATATAAAGTTGTAAAACATGGCTCGCTACTTTTATATCACACAAATAGATCAAGTTACCTTCCATTACAAATTATGATATGGACAAATCTAGAAAAGAAAAAAATTCTCCAGGAAAAGGACTGGAGAACTGCAAGAGGTATAAATTTAGATAGTGTGAAGTTTTCCTCCTCTATGGCATAGGTTAACAAGATTCCCCCCCTGTATGAATCATATATACATATATATATAAAATATTACCAGTTATTTAGCTACCTGTAGTATTTTTTAAATGCAAGGGGGAAAACTATCATGGGTGAAACAACAGAATTTAAGTGGCAAGAACATTTTATAATCTAAGTACTGTATAAAATAAGTAGATGGGAATCCTGCACAGTTATGTTGATCCTAATTTCATTGAGCTAAGCACAAGAGAAAATCATGAATGCATCTACCACCTTAAGCAGCTGTATCTAAATTGAACCCAGAACAGCAGAGTTGTCTTGGCTTCAGGACAGCTGTAACTGCTCCCAATTCCGGGGTGACGGAATCTAACAGCCATCAAAGCATTCTGCAGTCACTATATGCACACGAGGACTAGTTCTTGGCAGTAGCATTAAACTATATTCTCATATTAAGTAGAACTGTACTAAGTTATTTAGCAAAGAGACACAGTCCCTGGTAATGTATTAACAGGTATAAATAAACTTAGTCTCCCGTGTTACAAAAAAAAAAAAGTAATTAAGGTGATTTAATAAGAAGCAATGCTTTGTCAGCCATTCAATATATAGAAACATCTGAACAGTCACAGGAAAAGGAAAAGAGTTGACCTAAGACCCAGTTAAAACTTTACATTCTTCTACTATATATATAAAACTGTGTGAAATAAAAGTAAGGATGTATATCCATATATTGAACTGTTAATACTCTGCTTGGCACTTTGTACTCTAGTTTTGTTTCTGAGTCAAGTATATTAAATTAACGCCCACCTAGCTACTACATATAGAAAGCTACATATATATCTATATATAAATACACACACACATATATATATATAGATAGATATTTCCTTGTTATAAAAGATGAAGAAAAATAAATTAAAAAGCCAACCCCTTCCCTTTCTCCGCCACACTGATATGCTCTTTCCATCTTTGCTGTCCTTCAAACTTTAAAGTGCTACACTGAGTTATTGAGAGAATAAAAGTTCAATAACACTTAGTTGGCTTCATGAGGCTCATGTTGGAAAATGTGGCTTCACAGAGAAAAATACTTCCATTTAAATACACAGAGAGCATTGCTGGACGTCTGGAGCAGATCTTCAGAGATGGAGAAGAAAGCAAAAGTGTTGGGTGGTGCCCTACAGAGTCACACATCTACGACCATCTTTTTGTGGATATCTAGGCCTCCTACAACCTGGGAGAAAAATAAGGTTCAGAAAGATGAGAATTGAAAATTAGCAAGCTGCAAAGAACACAGTCAATAGATGCACTGAGGTCAATCATAAAGGTAGTACTTCCCTGGCCTCTCCAAACTGATTTACATTTTACAGGTACTGTGAGAGATGAAATTAATTATGTACCAACCAAGGTAATTCAGTACAATTAGTACAATTCACAAGCTCAAGGGCCTGAAAACCAGTGCAAATAACACCATTCTGGCATTCCTCTCCATCTCATATTATGACACTGTAGTATATTTGTGCATGTTAAATAAAACAGCGACTACTAAAACACCCTGTAAAACTGTGAACTTCCCAGGAAAAGGAAAGGGCCTTAGGAAAAGCAGCAGATTTCTGACAGAACACACACCCAGGAAAGAATTGCCAGTGTTCACAGGTGTGTGATCCACGCAGAGCAGAAGGAAAAGGAAAGGTGCCATGTCAGAGGAACATTTGATAACGCAGGAACAAAATTCAGAGGCCAAATGGTATGTGCCAAAGACAACAAATTAAAAAGCATTTTTGTAGATACATGGCACCAGATTCGGAGAGAGTAAAATGCAAGAAGAAGAATAAGATGTTGTAGAACTGAGAAATGTCTTGTTATGAGGTCAACAATAACTGAAGAAATTAGAAGTCAAGAAGAGGAAAATCCATCAGTGGCACAAGGAAAGAAGCCTGGGCAGAAGCCCAAAGACAAAAGAAGAGGCAACATCACATTTGATGCATGGCTGGAAGATGACAGACCAGTACAAGAAATAAACAAGTAATGCAGTAATCCAGGCATTTGCAGGCTGTAGCTCTAACTTCTTTGCAGACAAAATGTTTTTTACATGATGTCACAAAAATAACTGAACTTAAAAAAAAAATCCCCAATATGCAAACAAAAGAACCTTTTCACTTCAATAGTTGGCAGCATGGCAGATTTCCACCACCCTACCTCCCCCTTTTTTTATGTTAGAACTCACATATTTTTTGTATATGAACAAGTTATGCTTGAACTGAAGTTGTAAATTCAAAGATTAGGGAAAAAAAGTAAGGCCCAAACCATGCTATCCAGTGTATCTTCCTTAATATACCATTTAAAATCAATATGTAAACACTCATTAATTGCAATTTTCAAAGGATCAAGATTCAATATGTCATTTAATTTTTTCAGGAATGAATTTAAAACTTGTTGTCATCTAATTAAACAAATATATCACATGGGTTGAAATCAACACCCATCAGTGTCAAATGCTACATTTAAGCATTCTGTTCAGTAAACCTCTAAGTTCATAAAAATACACCTTTTAACTGTTTATTCTTTTCCCAGAGCAGCACTTGAGAGGTTTTTTATCCTCTCTCTGTAAATGACTCAATTTTTCTATAGAAGTTACTTACAGCACAAAATTC